AATTTTCAATGTATTTCACATGAGAAAAAGAAGGATCATTTTTATTATTGGCCTTATTTCCAATGCAATGGACTGAAAATGTACCAATTTCAGTCCTACTAAGGAAATAATTATGCCCTATTTGTGGGAATGTAGGAATTGCTATATCAGATCAGACCACTAGTCTATTCTATCTGATGCCCTACCTTCAAGAGTTGACAATAGCTAATGCTCCAGAGGAAAGCAGTGTCGACTCTTCAAATCACCTAGCCATTTGAGATGGGTAGAGAATTTCTTCCTGAACCCTAGCAGGCAACAAGCTTATGTTCTGAAGCATGAGATTTAATTATTCTTTTCTTAGTATACGTTGCTATAGATATTGCTAATGTGAATAGGACTGGATGACTCAAAGGAGTAGTAATATGATACAAAGTACTTAATCTCTAGCTCACTGATTCATATCCAATTCAGGTTGACAGGCTGGTCCATAGTGACTAAAATTGTTAGTGTCTGAAAGACATTTGGTGGTCTTTGGGAAATGAATTGTTGGTCTCAGTCCAATTCCCTATAGACAATCTAACAATCACCATTACTGGCATTAATTGGCTACCCTGCTGTCAGTCTCAGCAGAGACCAAAATTTAAATGGGAATCGAAACTGAACTATTCCCAGCCCTATATGTCATCCTTCCATATAAGGGCCAAGGCACTTTGCTGAAGCATTCACTAGAACCTTTTGTATAGGATATAGGTTTTCAAGTCTCAAGGACTCCCATATAAAGAAGCACTACAGTGTCCTCCAGCTGTGGTCAAAACCACTATATCTTACATTAGTAATACAGGGGTACTTCAGTGTGTATAAGACTGTGGTATTCTTATAAGGTCCCTGAAACGCAACACCTTTCACTAGCACATGGTGTTATGTTATTTGGTTGGTTGGTTTTGAAACAGTCATAAATTATCTAGCTCCTTTTCAAACCTGGTTATATACTTAAGGCCAGAATCTCCTGTATAATCTTTGCACTTTGTGATGTTCAGAAGTTTGGCCATAATTGGGTAGTGGAGAATTTCCCTTGTGGAGAGGAACTCTCTGGTGGTCTAAACCTGTTGGCGCAGTTCCTGTGCTAGACATCTACTGTAACGCCACTGTAAGGAGAATGGCAGGACAGGAAGAGGATCCTGGTAGAATGTGTCTACTACAACAAACCTCCACTGGTATATGGTCCTTCCTGTGATTAACTGGTGCTGGAACCAGGCCAGCACAGCAAGTCGCCCCTTTCCCTGAGCCAAGTGGAGCCCAGATACAGGAGGTAATTGAGGCCTCTGACTCTATCTTTGTGGGGGGTTGTGTTAATCACAGTTAACTCAAGCGATTAACAAAAAACAAATGAACTAGATTTTAAAAAAAATAGTTGTGATTAATCACAGTTTTAATCACACTGTTAAACCATAATAGAATAGAAATTTAATTTTATAAACATTTTGGATGTTTTTCTATATTTTCCAATATATTGATTTCAATTACAACACAGAATATAAAGTGTACAGTGTTCACATTATATTATTATTTTTATTATAAATATTTGCACTGTAAAAAAACCCCAAAAAATAGTATTTTTCAATTCACCTCATACAAGTACAATAGTGCAATCTGTTTATCGTGAAAGTGCAACTTACAAATGTAGAACTTTTTTGATACATAGCTGCACTAAAAAACAAAATAATGTAAAACTTTAGAGTCGACAAGTCCACTCAGTCATAATTCTTGTTCAGCCTATCGCTAAGACAAACAAGTTCGTTTACATTTATGGGAGATAATGCTGCCTGCTTTTTAGTTACAATGTCACTTGAAACTGAGAACAGGTGATCACATGGCACTGTTGTAGCCAGCATTGCAAGGTATTTTCATGCAAGATATGCTAACCATTTGTATGCCCCTTCATACTTCTACTTGTACATTCTAAAGTGTGAATGCTCCCAGAGCGACTCATGAATCACACAGAGAAAGGCATCAGCCAAATCCCTCCAGCTCCCAGCCTTGTACATCAGGAATATACCATCTTGCACTGCTCAAGACCCTTTCTTGAGCAATGCAAGTTTATTAATTGGTTCACCACTTCATCAATGGAAAGTGGATATACACCAGCCTTTCTAAACCTGAGCAGATTTACCAAGCTTTTCAGGCAAACTCATAGAATCATAGAATATTAGGGTTGGAAGAGACCTCAGGAGGTTATCTAGTCCAATCCCCTGCTCAAAGCAGGACCAACACCAATTAAATCATTCCAGACAGGGCTTTGTCAAACCGGGCCTAAAAAACCTCTAAGGATGGAGATTCCACCACCTCCCTAGGTAACACATTCCAGTGCTTCACCACCCTCCGAGTGAAATAGTGTTTCTTAATATCCAACCTAGACCTCCTGCACTGCAACTTGAGACTATTGCTTCTTGTTCTGTCATCTGCCACCACTGAGAACAGCCGAGCTCCATCCTCTTTGGAATCCCCCTTCAGGTAGTTGAAGGCTGCTATGAAATCCCCCTCACTCTTCTCTTCTCCACACTAAATAACCCCAGCCTCTCCTTGTAAGTCATGTGCCCCAGCCCCCTAATCATTTTTGTTGCCCTCCACTGGACTCTCTCCAATTTGTCCACATCCTTTCTGTCGTGTGGGGACCAAAACTGGATGCAATACTCCAGGTGTGGCCTCACTAGTGCCGAATAGAGGGGAATAATCACTTCCCTCGATCTGCTGTCAATGCTCCTACTAATACAGCCCAATATGCCATTGGGCTTCTTGGCAATGAGGGCACACTGCTGACTCATATCCAGCTTCTTGTCCACTGTAATCCCCAGGTCCTTTTCTGCAGAACTGCTGCTTAGCTAGTCAGTGCCCAGCCTGTAGCGAGGCATGAGATTCTTCCTTCCTGTGTGCAGGACTCTGCACTTGTCCTTGTTGAACCTCATCAGATTTCTTTTGGTGCAATCCTCCAATTTGTCTAGGTCACTCTGGACCCTATTCTTACCCTCCAACATATCTACCTCTCTCCCCAGTTTAGTGTCATCTGCGAATTTGCTGAAGGTGCAATTCATCCCATCATCCAGATCATTAATAAAGATGTTGAACAAAACCAGCCCCAGGACTGACACCTGGGGCAAGCCGCTTGATACCGGCTGCCAACTAGACATTGAGCCATTGATCACTACCCATTGAGCCCACAATCCAGCCAGCTTTCTATCCACCTTATAATCCATCATCCATTCATCCAATCCATACTTTTTTAACTCACTGGTAAAGATAAACAAGTTTATTGATTACAAAAGATAGATTTTATGTGATTATAAGTGATAGGCAAAAAGCCAGAGATAGTTACCAAATAACCCAAAATAAGTGCACAATCTAAATCCTAAACCTGTAAGACACTAGGCATTTAGTATTTAGATCAAGCAGTTTTCTCACTCCAGTGGATGTTACAGTTCGTAATACACAGGTTTCATTCTTGAAACCTGGGCCAGTCTCTAGTGTTGGACTCTTCAATCTTCTGAGCATTCTTGTTGCTTGCAGCTTAAGTGGGGGGAGGAGAAAAGGACCGCATGGGGCCACTGTGTTCTTTTTTATACTCTTAGTCCATGTGCTTGGAGAACACAAGTCCAGGCATGTCTGGCTTTGCTGAGTCCAAGGTGAAGAAATACCCCCGGTGTGTCTCCTGTGAGTGAGTCATTGAATTGCAACTACTCTGCTGGACAGTGGCTGGTGATGTCTGTTCACCACCCCGGCATTGGTTAATTCCTTTGTTGTTGTCTCTGGAGAGCTGGTATGTGGGTGCTTCCCAAACCCACAGTGTTTTTTAGTGAAAACCATACAACACAATTCTTATAATTTTATATGCATTAATGATATACATATTTAGATGGAACAATGGGTTTCAGCTGATCATAATCTTTCCTCTGATACCTCACATGGCAAGCTTTATATGCAATATCACAATTATATATAGATGAGGAATGTGTGGGTTACAGGGCGCTCCCCCGAGGTATAGAGTGCCACAGAAGTATTGTACAGTAGTTAGTTAAGGTACTAACCTAGGATTCTGGAGACCCAAGTTCAGTTCCATGTTCTATCAAAGACTTCCTGTGTGACATTAGGACAGATCCTCAAAGATATTTAGGCTTCTAAGTCCCATTGAAATTAATTGTAGTTAGGAGCCTAAATACTTTTGAGGATCTGGGCCTATGTTCCTCATCTGTAAAATGGGCACTTCTCTACCTCATAGGGGTGTTATGAGGATAAATACATTAAACACTGTGAGATGCTCAGATACTATGGTGATGAGGTCATGTAAGTACCTAAGAGTTTTATTAACTAATTATAAAACAGAGAGTAGTATTGGGTATAAGCTTGTTGGGACCAAGGACCTGTCTTATTCTACTTATCCTATGGCACAGAATACATAATAATCGTATAATATGGTGATATTGTACTTGTAGCCACTTGAAACAGACAAATATTGCATCCTGTTATATCTTTCATTGAGATATCAGAAAGTCTAAAAATCTATTAACATTAAGGTAACATCAGACCAGCAATGTATGCTTGTTTTCTTTATTTTGATTTTAAAAGATGGCTATAAAAGACTCTAGGAACCCTTAAAACATAACTGGTACTGGAAAAAAAATAAAGTAAAAACCCCACAGCATTAAAATTATTCAATTGGGAATTCTGGAAGTCAGCCTCCTACAAAAAAGCTCCTTTCCACCCCTTCATTATTGTTGAAAGCATACCTTCTGCCCTCTCCAAACTTCCCAGTCACACATGTGTCTTTTGCAACATACTTGGAAAATCACCAAAATCAGGCAATTTTGGACCAAAGTTGGAGCAAGTTCAAGCATCCCAAAGCTCTCACTCAGAACACCATAGTGATGGTGTCTCCCCACAAAATATGTCATTTAGAACAAGATATTTAAGCAAACCAAAAGACCTTCGAGCTCTCTTTTCTATGACTAATGTTTACTTCTGTTTAACAGGTGATTTGTATATTGGAGGAGTGGCGAAAGAAATGTATAAATCCTTACCAAAACTAGTGCATGCAAAGGAGGGATTTCAAGGTTGCCTTGCATCAGTTGACTTAAATGGACGTCTGCCTGATTTGATCTCGGATGCCCTGTTTTGCAACGGACAAATAGAAAGAGGATGTGAAGGTACTGAACATCATAGTAGTTTCATCATAAGTATTTCCAATATAAAGCAGATATTCTTATATCTCGTTGTGCAAGTGTTAGACCCATCCTGCTGAGTCCTGTTTATTTGTACTCTTTATATGATGAGTTTATATTTTACCTGTGTGATTAGCATTGTGCCTCGGTTGGAGTGTACACTATTAATGAGGGTAAATGCCCCCGAGGGAGAAATGTATACCTACTCAACAAAGCACAAACTAACCCGAGAACATTAATTTACCTCTGGAATAGAATCTGTAGATTCTGCTCTTCTTTAGTGACAAGCTGGTTTTCAAGTCTTTTGTTTGTTTGTGGCATATTTTATTTAATCATGGTAACAGTAACAATTAGCTTCTATATAGTACTTAGACATTAACTAATATATAAGCAGTCTCCCCATGTCTGCTCTGTATTATGCTACCTGCTTAGATTATGATTTTTTTGGTTGTAAATCTTCCTATCCATTGAAATTAATACTGTGTTCTGTCTCACATGCTGTATGGCTTTACTGCTCCAGTGGAATAGTGTGAAATGCAAGTTAGGACCGAATTAGGCCCCAAAAGATTTGTTTGAATATGAAAACAAGGACTTTGCCCTGGATGATTACAGTTTTGGTTATGAGTGCAGATGGGCTCCAGCTATAAAATGTGGATCTTGATTTCAGAGTCTATAGTACTAGTGTGTTCATGTTTAAGGGTTTGGTTTGGATCTATCTCTAATTCCTCCAGTAGCCTCATTCCATATAGTTTTCACTTTAAGATATTAGTTTAAATCAATTCTATGTCCCTACATACACTTCATTCACATCATTCTGAATTTAGCAACTGTCTTCCAGTACATTACTTTCACTAAAGTACCATTCTGCTTTGAAAAGCAACTACAAAAATGGCATCGTGGTGTTCCGTGTTAATATTCTCTCAATGAATTTCAGATCAAGAAAATGTTTTTTTTTTTCATTAATTGCTTAAGCTTAATTCATTCTTTCTCTCTCTGGCTGAGAGAGTCTCTCATTATTTACCCACACTGACATAGCTTCAACATTGGGCCAGAGAGAGAGAGAGAACAAGCATGAGAATGACTCTGTATCAAGGTGGTTAGAGCACTCCCCTGGGAGATCCAGGATCTAATTCCCCTGCTCTGATGACCTTTTAAAATTATTGATACAAAGTGGAACAGCTTCAACAGGAGAGAATGAGAGAGTCCCCCTTTCCACATCAGATTATCCCTTAGCCCAGCTGTTGGGGCACTCACCTGAGAGATGGCAGAACTCAGTTCAAATCCCTTTTCCCACTCAGATGGGTCTACCGGGTGAGTATCCTATCCACTAGCCTCAAAGTTATCAGGGAGGTTCTTCTTCTGGCTGCTTGCTAAAATAGTATACGTGCCTAGCACTCAGAGAGGGTTTGCAGCTGAGACTCCCCAGTAGAGGGAAACACCTGCTTGCAGCCTGGACTTAAGTACCTATCTCTGAGAGATGGGTGAGGCTTAGCATACACCCCACAGTTTGGCATCTCCCATTAGCTCTCTTAGGTGAGGAGCTTCCTAGCATGCTGGCTTTTGGGAATCCCATTTGAAGGCGACTATCTTTCCCTGTTTGTTGTATAGAGAGCAGGAGCTCTACACTCAGGCTTTGTGAATCCCAGTGATTTTCTAGATGCTTAAAAGTTCTTGTGAATTGAGCCCCTGTTCACCCACCAAGCTGATGTGGAAAGCCCCCTTCCAGGTCCTTTCCCCTAGTCCTTGGCCTCCTACTTACTCCCCTCAGTTTTCTCCCTGTGATGCTTGCTGGTCTTTTATCTGAGGACCAGGTTACCTGCAGGCTGTTATCAGATGCCTGGTCTCAAACCCATCCCCTGAGAAGCAGCTTAATTAGTCATGGGTGGGGCTGAGCCCACCTCCCTTAAAGGGCCATCCTATGCTGTGTCCTCGTGGAGAATTCCCATAGGAATCAGCAGGAAGTCAGTTTTACCTTCAGCAATGATTTTGGTTAATGGGCTTGATCCAAAGCTCATTAAAGTCAATGGGAGTCTCTTCATAGATTACAAAGGGCTTTAGATCCAGACAAAAGCAAGCTAGTAAGATTGGGCCATTAATAGCATCATGAGTAGTTTAAAATCAGGAGACTCCTTATAATGTTGAGAGAGTTGGCAACAGTGTTAGTATGTGTGTGATGGATGCAGTAAAGACAATGATAAGCACCACAGAAAAGCCCATGAATAAAATACATATTAATTTTAATTTAATATGTACTAGAAATAATGCAGCATGCCAAAAATATATTTGAAAGGAATAAAAATAAGAAAAAGAATGTAAGAAAATAAAATCCTTAAATATGATTTTGCTAGAGTCACCATATAGACAACTAAACACTCATTGATTATCTTGGTTACCATCTGTTTCATTCCTTCACAGAGACAAGGTGGGGGAGGTAATATGTTTTATTGGACAAACTTCTGTTGGTGATAGAGACAAGCTTTTGAGCCACACAGGTCTTCTATAGGTCTGAGAAAGGAAAGAAGAGCTGTGTGTGTCTCAAAAGCTTGTCTCTATCACCAACAGAAGATGGTCCAATAAAACATATTACCTCCCCCACCTTGGGACTGACATGCCTACCATTCCTTCACACTCATTCTTAAACTAAAATAACCCTAAGTACCTGTTTATGTACTTAGACTGTATAAAAGAGATGAACCCTCAGTAAAGAAGTCTTCAGAATAATGAAAACACCACTGATTATTTAACCTAGTTTATTGTCATATAAAATGAGAGATAATCAGACAGCAGTAGCCTATGTTTACTTACCTGCGCATAAGTATTTAATAGCGAGCTCTTATCCATACCTAGATAATAAAATATAGTCCAGTCTAAACATGTAGTGTCAATAGCATTTGTAATAGGGCTGTCAACTAACTGCAGTTAACTCAATTGATTAACTCAAAACAAATTAACTCAATTTAAAAAATTGATTGTGATTAATAATAGTGTTAATCGCACTGTTAAACAATAATAGACTACCAAATGAAATTTATTATAAATATTTTGGTTGTTTTCTACATTTTCAAATTTATTGATTTCAATTACAACACAGAATACAAAGTGCTCACTTTATATTATTATTTTTAATATGAATATTTGGACTGTAAAAAAGATAAACAAAAGAAATAGTAATTTTCAATTAACCTTATATAAGTACTGTACCACAGTCTCTTTATCATGAAAGTGCAACTTACAAATTTAAATTTTTTTGTTACATAACTGCACTCAAAAACAAAACTGTAAAACTTTAGCACCTACAAGTCCACTCAGTCCTACTTCTTATTAAGCCAATCACTAAGACAAACATGCATTATCTCCTGTAAATGCTGCCTGATTCTTATTTACCATGTCACCTGAAAGGGAGAACAGGCATTTGCATGGTGCTTTTGTAGCTCATTTTGCAATGTATTTTCCTGCCAGATACGCTAAGCAATTGCGTGCCCCTTCATGCTTCGGCCACCGTTCTAGAGGATGTGCTTCCATGCTGAAGATGCTTGTTTAAAAAATAAAGTGTTAATTAAATTTGTGACTGAATTCCTGGGAGAACTGTATGTCTCCAGCTCTGTGGTTTTACTCACATTCTGCCATATATTTTGTGTTATGGCAGTCTCGGATGATTACCCAGCACATATTGTTCAATTTAAGAACACTTTCACTGCAGATTTGACAAAACGTAAAGAAGGTACCAATGTGAGATTTCTAAAGATAGCTACAGCACTGAGCACAAGGTTTAAGAATCTGAAGTGCCTTCCAAAATCTGAGAGGGATGAGGTGTGGAATATGCTGTCAGAAGTCTTAAAAGAACAAGACTCCGATTCGGAAATTACAGAACCCAAACCACCAAAAAAGAAAATCAACCTTCTGTTGGTGGCATCTGACTCAGATGATGAAAATGGACATGTGTCGGTCCGCACTGCTTTGGATCGTTGTCGAACAGAACTGTCATCAGCATGGAAGCATGTCCTCTGAAATAATGGCCAACGCATGAAGGGACATGGGAACGTATAGTATATCTGTCACGTAAATACCTTGCAACACCAGCTAAAAAAGTGCCATGTGATTGCCTGTTCTCAGTTTCAGGTGACATTGTAAATGAGAAGCAGGCAGCATTATCTCCCGAAAATGTAAACAAACTTGTTTGTCTTAGAGATTGGCTGAACAAGAAGTAGGACTGAATGAACCTGTTTTATTTTGAGTGCAGTTTTATTAAAAAAAAATTTACACTTTAAGTTGCATTTTCATGATAAAGAGATTGCACTACAACACTTATATGAGGGAATTGAAAAATACTATTTCTTTTGTTTATAATAATATAAAGTGAGCTCTGTACACTTTGTATTCTGTGTTGTAAATAAAATCAATATATTTGAAAATGTAGAAAGCATATACAAATATTTAAATCAATGGTATTCTATTATTGTTTAATAGTACAATTAAAACTGTGATTAATTGTGATTTTTTTAATCTCACAATTAATCATGATTATTTTTTTTATCTCACATTTAATAATTTTTAATTTTTTAAATCATTTGACAGCTTTAATTTTTAGATGATCTGTTTTCCTTTTGAGGAAGAATGGCTGCTCGTGTTTGATCAGTCAGCTTCTTAAAGTTCTGCCCTATGTGAGAAGACTGCAATATTGCCAAGCCTAGGCATTCAAAGATCATGAGATTGGCTTAAAAATGATAATATTTGTACTTGCCTTCTGGTTTCTGAGCTATATTTTCTCCATTAATCATAAGAGATAGGAACTTACTTTAAGATGATCATATAATCAATTGACTCTATGAGTTGGGACTTTAAGAAAAATGCCAAATATCATGAGACTTTTGACCAAATTGTGAGCATTGGAATTGTACATGCTCACTTAGGTCCCCATCCTACAATTGATAGCATGTGATAGACTCCTATGTCTGTTCAGAGACCCAGTTGCGCTATCAACTGCAGGATCAGGGCTTCTATTTATTAGGCTATTGTCCTGAAAACACTTATATGTATATGCTTAACTTTACTATCATGAGAAATCCTATTGATTTCAGTGGAATTACTTATGTGTTTAATGTAACACATGTGCATAAGTGTTTGCAGGATCATGGCCTGGTTTGTGATACTTTTTGCAGGTAGGCAGGTGGGACAAGGCAAGATTTTAATGATCACAGGAATTCACGGTTGCCGCCAAAACAAATGCCTGAACTCCATGTAGTTTTGGTTCTTGAATAAAAGTTAAACTTTGTGGGTACCTCTTTGTTGACAAATCTTCAATGACAAGAAACTACAAAGCTAGAACTATAAAAACATTGCTAAATAGACCTGTGAATAATTAACCGAAAGCTAGGTCATAACAGTCACTTTTATGGTTTCGTCATTAAGGCCGGATCTTGCTCAATTGAATTCAATAATTTTTCCATAGACTTCAAGTTGAAGTGGGATCAGGGCCTCCCATTGAAAAGTTTAATATTTTCCTCAGCACACATGGTGATGGACATTGGTGACATAAGGTAACTTTTGAGTTACCTTTCTGATGTATCACAAGACATCAAGACATACCACTAGGTAGTATGAAGCTTTTGTGTTGAATGTGTAACTCCCAAACCAATCCATGTCCTTACTTTACAGATATAAAATTAATTACCCATGCAAAGAAATAAATCCAATCAATTTTTAAAAAGTCCACAACAAAGATGAAACAAAATTATATTTATACCACAAGTACTCAAAGCTGCATATGATAGCATCTTACTAAGTAGCTTAGATAAATAAAAATAGATCTATAATATGCACATAAAATTATGAACCCAATGGTAATATTTATTAACAATTTCTAGCTTCAGTTAAACATACTTTATTCTGTCAGGAAGTATGATTTTTTTAAAAATATTATTTACACTTAAAACCAGTCATATAGTTGTAACCAATCTGTGTTTCTTAGCAAATTCTGTTGGAGAAATATTTACACATAATATGCAAGAGCTGCAAAGCGAAAAACACTCAGAATGATATGAGCAATAGTAAAAACTCATTAAGGCAATTGTTCCTTAAGTTGCAAAAAGTATTTCCTTCTACATCCATGCATTTTAGCATTCACTTTATTTTATTTTTTTTGCCTCGGTGTCTGTGTTTTTCTACTTTAATTCCGCATGACTTTTTTCTAATTTTAATTTGATGATGAGATCTAACATTGCATAACTAAAGTGTAAATAAATGCATGAATATATAGCATTTAAACACCTACAGATATTTTCACTTCATTTTTGTAAGGTGTCCAAGTAGCAGATTCTGGTTAAAAAAAAAATGTGTGTGACTTGTCAACCATCATAATACCCAAATGTATACAAAGAATGATGCAATGCCCAAATGTTTAAAGAAAAACTTTTGAACTCAAGATTGCTAAGAAAGTGGAATGGCTGCCCTATAGGTCCCTTCTTCTCTGAATGCAGATCACCAGCTGATGCATTAAATTTCAGATTTTAGTATACAGGCTAAATATATCAGAGCTAATTAATACTTTTGGCTAAACTGTGATTGATAGTATATTCTATTGCTAGACCTAGTCTTGTGACGATCTTTTGGGTCCCAATTCAGCAAGGTACTTAAGCACTTGACTAACTTGAAGCATGTGACTGGTCACATTGATGTGCTTTAAACTGGGCACATGATTAAGTATCTCACAGATTTTGGGCCTTGTTAAATACCCCCAAATGAGTGATGCTTATAAGATTAGATAAGAAAATTCCACATTAGGAGCTTTCTTTGGGATTTAATTTAAAAATTTAAAGTTTTAAGTGGATGTCTCTGTCTCCAAAATTACTGAAAAGGGTTTTATAAGGATTAGGACCATATTATTTCCTTCATTAGTGTATGTCAATGGGAGATCTGTGTATGTTGATCCAAGTCAATATATGGTTCATGATGTATATTTCTATCTTAATTCTCCCAGTCACACAGAAAGGTCTAAAAGAGAGGAAAATGGGAAGGGATAATGTGCTAATGACAGTAGAAGTCACTGTATCTGAACATGACAAATGACTAGTCAGGATGCAGCCATGCATTCACTTTGCTAATGCATTCACATCTATCCAAGAAGAAGAAAAAAAAACCTTTTAATTTTCCTTCATTACATGTCATCAGCTCAATTAACCATTATATTTGCAGTAAAATACTGGCAAATTACTGCTTTCTCATTTTGGCTTGCCTAGAGATTTATGGCTATTAGCATTAATTTGTTTGTGTTATATGGCATTTCTTTCTCTCTTTAACAGCAGCATGCACTTTACTCTGAATGTTTTTCTGTGTTTGCTGCCATTTCAATATTGCTTACTAACATTTAATATATTTTGCTTTTTTTTTTTAATTTTGCTGACAAAGTTGCATTGATGAAAGCTGATTTGCAAGGTAGATAGCCCTGTGTGTATTAAAAAAGACTGAAACCCAGAATGCACAGCTGGATTTCTACAATAAATGCTCTGTACATTTCCTGCAATAAAGTGTGTTGTTTTGTTTCAGATTTTCCCTTTTTACCCCTAAACATGATACAAGAACCTTCATTTTACAGCATATTTTGCATAAAGGCTTTCAGTCTTGAATATGTTTGTATAGTGATTGCTTTAGTGCTTTGATCATACCTTTTAAAAAGTTCTTTTATTTTTCAGTGGTCTAGTTATGAATCTCTAGAAATAGAATAGCTTTGTTTTTCATGTGTGTCACATTTGGGCATGCCAGCTCATTAGTACTCTGATTTATTTATTTATTTTCTGTTTTAAAAAGAACCTGCATGGGATCATTAAAGCATGTGAATCAATACTTGCCAACATTCCTTCCTGCAAACCCACCCCCCAACTCCTCTTTATTTTAGGCTCAGCTCCTTTTTAAAGTACTTTCTGGGATTTCAGGTACATTACAATGTAGCTTCATTTCCTAGTGTGTTTTTAATTTTCTGATCTTGTTTCATGTAGCTTTATTTCCCATTTTCCATGGTACCTGGTTTTGCTGGTTGGAACACATGTTCAGGAAAAAGAATAAATAAATTAATTTTATGGAAAAAAATGTTTAGCCTGTTAATGATGTGATGTGAAATTAACCATAGCTTGCTACAGTGTTAACATCTCTACTTCCCTTGGATTAACTCTTGCGTCTGTTTGTTTTCTTTATATTTATGAATTCTGTTCTGTCATTCTTGGAGCCAAAACAAAAGATTTGTAATGTTATATGCCTCCACGTAACACAGAAATATTTAAATAAATTCTACTTTAGATCCCTTTGCTCATTAGATTTAAGATGTTGGCAACTACCATGTGATCCAAAGACAAACATGTTACTTTGAAATACAAAATTCTAGTTGCTTCTGTATGTTCTCATCAGGCCCCAGCACCACATGCCAAGAGGATTCGTGTGCAAACCAAGGAGTGTGCTTGCAGCAGTGGGATGGATTCAGCTGTGACTGCAGTATGACCTCCTTTAGTGGACCATTGTGCAATGACCGTAAGTATATTAGAGAATGCTCATCTAAAAACCTTACAGCCCTAGGGCAGTATTTAAAGCAAGTGTCTGAAATTTGTATTATTTTAATATTATATAGTTAATTGAACTGGCAAAACTTTGAGAAAATCTATGATGCTTGTAGGAAGAACGTGATGAAGCATTACAGTATAAATGGGGGACAACAATACTACATCGAACATTGTGAAAGAATTTGGGTTTTTTATACTTGATTGCATATCTAATGCATTGATGGTTACCTATTTGAAATGAGCCTTTCATAAACATTACAAATAGTTTTTTCTGATTAAAAAAAACCTTTCACATTTTATTATCTTAAGCTATATTGTAATTTTGTAACTTTATCTCATGAGAGCTGTAATTACTATGAAACAGTTGACAAGGCTCATTATCTTTCTTTGTAGATTTCTTTAGGTGACACATTAAGCTCTGTCAAATAAAAAGCACTCCAAGTGTTTTAGGTTTTTTTTTTTTTAATTTCATCTGAATAATCACAAATATCCTATACCAACCATCTGGTTCTCAAGTACAAATGGAAGTTGTGATAAATATGGGACCTGCTTCACTAGTGTGCTGCTCTGGTTTTACGCCAGTCTAGACCCCTTGATTTCACTGGAGTTAGCTTGGTGTGAAATTGCAATAATGCAGCAATGAATAAGGCCTATTTGGTTATAGAAACTGTCAAGATTTCTTACTGAGGATTAAACTTTACCCCATTTGAGATGTCTGATTATTGGAAACCTTTGCATATTTACAAGAAGGGCATTTCAGTCAGACTTGGCATCTTGATTTTCACTTGTTGTGTACATGTATTTGAATGAGAGTGTGGTTTCCATATCCTGCCAAATATGGTAGAAAGGTAGTTAATATAGATATCTAGTCACGCATTTTTTGGCTACTATATGCAATTTTGGCTGTCCAGTCTACAACAAAGTTCATTTCTTTATTGGACAAGTTCTAGACCAGCATAGTAACTGTGATTATCTCAAAAGAGTTAACAATGTTTGGTTCAAAGGGTAGGTCCCAAGCATTTATGAGATTAGAAATTAAAATATATGGAAAATTTATGGCAAAAGATTCTCATAAGATTCCCACTGTTGGGGTTTTTTGTTGTTATTTTTAACTGTTGCCCCAACTATACCCATTTTTTCATGATCTCCCATCACAAAAGTGGAAGAAAACCAGTTCTCGAGATCTGCACTTTCTGATAGAATGCAGAATGGGAGATTCAAAGTATTTAGGAGAGAGTCTACCTTTAGGCCTTCAGACACACAATTCCAAATTTCAGAGGCCTGCAGTGCAGGTAAAATGGGTGGGGTTCTTGTACTACTAAAGACAGTTTATTTTTATGCTAATTTGGATGCCATGTATACTTTCCTAGGTGTCTTATTGATATTGATATTGTCACAGATCTCAAAACACTGGGTAAAATTCAGTAGTGTTTAACTGAGCTGAGCTTACACTGATATCAAGAAAAAATTGGATCAGTTGTAGACAGCAGAATTGTCTTATACGATTTTAGTAATAACAGTTTTTTGTTGCTGAAGAATAAAGTGCACTTTAAAACATAATAAGTGCAGTCTTCAGCTGGTGTATTTTAGCATTGCTCTATTGAAGCCAACAGAACTACACTGATCTACAGGAACTGAGGATTTGCCCCAGTATTCTTACATAAGAAAATTTCTGTACTTGTTAGTTTGTAAATTTGGATTTGCCTGTTTCATATTTACAAACCTAAGTAAAACAGAAAGCTTAGTATATCAAAATGGTGCATGTAGCATATTAGAGTAACAAAAAGCTGGGTTATTTTAAGGTAGGTAGCTCTTTAAAAGTTATCAAAATAATGTGAAAAATAAAAAAATAAAGTATGTTATTCAATAAGTGTAGCATGTAAAAGCCTACTATTTTTCAGTGGATTAAGACAAAAACATTGTCTAGCTACTTTTCCTGACTTTTCTTGCAAGTCTTAGTTAATATATTTCTTGAAATTTGTACAAATGATGTTGCTCTTTTTAGGTTGATATTTTCAGTATGTTATAGAATCATAGAATCATAGAAGATTAGAGTTGATAGAGACCTCAGGAGGTCATCTAGTCCATCCCCCAGCTCAAAGCAGGACCAACCCCAACTAAATCATCCCAGACAGGGCTTTGTCAAGCCGGATTTAAAAACCTCTAAGGATGGAGATTCCACCACCTCCCTAGATAACCCATTTCAGTACTTCACCACCCTCCTAGTGAAATAGTGTTTCCTAATATCCAACCTAGACCTCCTCCACTGCAACTTGAGACCATTGCTCAACTAGTGTCAACTAATGTGACCTCAATTCATGAAAGTTTGACATCGTGTCATCTCTAGGCTTCATTTGCATACATCTTGCCTGGTCCTTAATTTCCTCAGCATAAAGTTCAGAGGAAATGGAAAATGGGAAAAAGTAGTACAGAAAAATACAGTTGTGATAGCTATGCAGAAATACCATATTTTTTATATATATATATGCATGTAAGAGATTTTTTATGAAGTAAAGTGCTATTTAGCATAAGTTAAGGATATCAAAATTCAGCTCAAAATAAGCAAAGCATGAAGCAGTCTCCTCCTCTGACAACCTGAGTATGTCCTATATGTATCTGTAAGTGGGGAGGAAAAGATTCTAGTGATCCCACCCAGGGAATGTACGGTACTTCCTGGAAGAGTTAAGCTAATATCCTCTGCTAAAACTGATTCATGCCAGCATGTCTCAGTTTACAGCATAGGGGACCATATTCAGGAATATCACTAGAATCTGTAAAAATGTTCAGTCCAGTAGAAACTCTTTAAGTGCATCCAATGTAACAGATATACGGCAGATGCGGACCATTAATGCCCATGATGGCACAAGGAGGGACACGCTACATGGTGCTGTTTCTTATTTACTGAAAGAGAAACAATGTAGGGATGTCTTGACGCAAGATGAGGAGGAGGTTATCACTACTTCTGCTATGATATGACACTTGGAGATGCAGGGCAGCAATGCTTTGTAGATGTGGTATGTTGGAAATGTTATATTGTTAAGTGCAAAGCAGGCCACTAGAAAATGTTCCCACAAAATAGGATTACATAGAATACTGTGCAAAAAGGACAGTTAATGACTATTCTTACAAATGGTTGGCATCCTGGCTCCTCTGAGAAAAAACATCACAAATATCCTAAGTATTAGTAACTGCAGGTTGTGGAGTGAAAACTGTCCTTCCAGGGCACTCAGCTTTTTCATAAGAGTAGGCTGAAAATGACTCTGGCAACAACAGCAAAAACTAAAAACCCAAATCAAATGCTCTGCTGTATTGTACAAGAGTCTTTCTATGAGTTTACATCTGTTTTCACCACCACAGTCCATAAGTGTAACTACATTAGTGAGCATAATGTCATATTTGTGGAAACAAACACCACTATTATGGCCTGGAAAATAGCAAAAATAATAGCATTGTCACATTACATTAATATTGAAGCACTGAGGTGCCAAATTACAGGGCAGCTTCAATGCTGTCTGTTACCATAAGGGAATAATACATCAAAGAGTTGTATCTGTGATAGTGTAGCTAACACTGTGTCAACACTACCATTAAAATCCCTATTTTCAATGGTTTAGGTTTTCACCATGCAATGTCTTCTGAATAGAAACTTGACATTCGCAGCCTGTATGAATAGAGAAACTTTGTTCCTGAAACATGAATGAATGAAGTTCAGATTTTCGTTAAGGATATGCAAAAAATCCTTCTGTCTTACTATGAATCTTCTCTAACAAAAGACTGGCTTTTAAAAATGAAAGAAACATATCTATGTTACAAGACTACTGTACACGTGATAATTTAATTTTTTGATATAGTATAAAATCAAAGTTACTGCTTAACAAATCAGGGTGTTGCCCATAGTTATGATCAGATATGCTTCTAGAGTGGCTTAGATACAAATCCATAAAACATCGCAGCTTGAATTCAAGGCAACTTGATGCAGTTTCAGGATTGGGCTATATGTAGAATTGTAGGCAGGGATGATAGCTCCACCTGTAAATACAGTTGCTGGACTCTTTCCACTATAAAACCTTGTTTTCAGTTGCTTATAACTTTGCCAAACTTTAACTGCTTGGCCTGAATTTGGTGAGCTTGGTAGCTACCTCAGACTGATTTTTTTATTTATGTATTTTAGCTAAAATAAAGCCATTTCCAAGAATAAGACTAAGGGAAAATATATTGTCTTGCCATGGTAAAAAATAATTTCTGGTGATCTTTTCTTTGAAAAGCTCTAGCTCTCCCATGATTTGGATCAGGCACTTAAAATATGGTGGGGTTGGCAGGTGACCGTTGCATCAGCGATGTGCCTTTTGTCATACCTGTGAAAGCCTGCTCCAATATGGTGAAGTTATAAGCCTTTCATACATCCTCAGTTCTGATTTCCTCAAACTTAGAGGCTAAATTTCCAAAGATTCTATATGCACTGGGGATGCCCCAACCTGGGGCTAAGCAGGACTTGCCCTGCAATTGTACCTCTGGCACCTCAGCTAAGAGCTATGCTCTTAATGACCCTTCCTCATCTCCCAATTCCCACCTAACACACATAGTGTGGAGGAGGACGCTGCCTGATTAAATGGAGAGGGGATATGAGCTGGACCTGCAGGGAAGGGAGGGGAGTAGAATGAGACAAGGAGACTGAGAGGATGGCAGAAACTGGGACAGGGAGTTGGGGTAGGGTGGCAGTCTGGGACTCGCTGGATGAGGAGACTGGGACTGCCAGTAGGGGGAGGCTGGGATGAGAGTCTGGCCGAGTGAGACTGGAACTTGCTGGGACTGGGATGAGAAGCCTGAGGAGGGGAGACTGAGATAGGGGAAGAGAATGGGACTGGGATGAGAAGCCAGGGATGGGGCATGTCATAACTATAAAGGGAAGGGTAACAGCTCTCCTGTGTACAGTACTATAAAATCCCTCCTGGCCAGAGACTCCAAAATCCT